ATGACACCCATCAACCCCAACAAATGGTCTGCAACCATTTATGAATCCATATTCACATCCGTCAAAACAAAAATAAAAAGATCTTAACCTTGGCTGGATAGTTGAGATTGGTCTATCAATGTTGATCTTCACAGTATTCCATGCATTTACTCTTTGCAGTTCGGAAACATACCTCCATAGATTAGCATATTGCTTGTCTGCATCCCTCTCAATTATCCTATACGCAATCAACTTAGCTTTCCATGTCCGAGCCACAATTATACCAACTGACTGATTTTTTTCTCATGTCTTGTATTACATCAGAGATCCTCACTGTATCAGTTGTTTGCATTTTCTTCACAACATACTGGGCCACCCACCTTGAATTTATAGACATATTGTCTAAAACCCTAGTACATTGTAGGTGTCATTTATAGTCTTAATGGAAAAAGTTTGTTTCTGGACCACCCTAGAGCAAAGCATTAAAAAACCACAATTTGCCTTACACACTACCCTTACCCTGTACCCCTTATTTTTCACAAAAGTTATTTCCCTTCCATTTAAAATTGTCCACTTACGAATGGCCTCCCTAAAGTCATCTAGGGAATTGAACTGCATACCCCACTTAAACTTAAAATTCTTATTAAATTGTTTTTTCCTAAACTTCTCAAACTTAGGCCTTTTTTCATCTTTAGAGTTATCTGGATTTGAGTTGTCTAGCTCTTCACTAACATAATCATCATCTTCCAATTTCCTCTTATCGGGACAAGGTAACAAACCAACTATTATTGGACCCTCCCTAATTGGTATAGTAACATCAATTCCTTCAAATCTATCTGCAATAGCAATAGTCCTTTCATCCTCACTGTCATTCAACCCTTCAACTCCCTTTTCATCACTTACATCAAACCCATCAAAATCATTCAAACACCTAGGCCTACTACCAGTTACTTTTATACCAAGTACATCATGTTCCACAAACATGTCCCTATCCACTTGCATAGCGCAAGCATAAGCAGAGAAATCATAAGCATCACAATCATTCTTAATTTGAAAAAAATCTTCATCTATGTTAATGATTTTCGTCCATATTTTGTACGACCCATCAGAGTAACCCCATCCATTAATCAAACTACAAATGTGACTCATAGTCCAGTTTTCAATGTCTTGCCTATAAACTATTGTTAAAAGACCACCCATGTATATGGTTACACCATCAACCAACCTTACAAACTCATTCCCATGGTGGAAGACAACATTGAAGGGTTGAAGTATCTAAAATCAAAGACAAAACTAATAAATATTTTGCACATGCATGTTCGACTCAAGCAGCATAAACGGATATTCAAACTAACCTGAGTCAAATCGCCAGCGTCTCTACCATTGCCAACCATGTCTTCGTCTTCTTCGATATAGCTCTTCTTCTTCATGTCGCTTGTGGTCCCAAATGTGAACCCTAACATTCATAGAGGATAAATAGGAAATGACAACACAATTGTGTGATTTCTGTTTTAATTTTTATTTAAATATAATTTGACAACTAATTTAATACATGTCGTCAAGTCAACATATGTCAACAAGGATTATTTCATACCCAGTCAACAAAACATGAGAATAGGAATGTGTGGAAATAAAATTTGTATTTTATAAGAGGAGAATCTAAAAAAAAATTTAATAAAGAAAAAAATAAAACTCATCCTAATAGTAAAGAATAACGTATATTTATCCCTAAAAAAAATTATGTTAACAATATAGATAACAAAGTAAAAAAAAAAAAAGAAACTATATTATTCACATTATTGAATCCCAAATATCATTCTTCTTCTATACTTTGTCATTTATATTATTAACATTTATAATAATTTTTATTTATTTTGTTTGTTATTGGGAAGAGAGAATCGATCCCTTAAGACTAGGGATGTCAATGGGGCGGGGCGGGGCCGGGGGGACACTTCCCCATCTTTTTCCCCGCCATCAAATTCATTCCCCGTCCCCGTCCCCGATCTCCGTCACGGGGGAATTTCTATCCCCATCCCCGTTCCCCGCGGATCCCCGTTCCCCGCGGGGATCCCCATAGATCCTACATTTATTCATTAATATTTTATTTTTTTAAAATGTTTATATTTTCTATAAAAATAAAAAGCACAAAGAATTCACATATTTATTATGTTATTAAAAAATACTAGTATTTGACATTTATTATTTTTTATTAAAAATACTAATGGAACACAAAATAATAATATTTTTTTTATAAATTTCTATAAAATGCTATAAAATTCAACAAAATGAACTATAATACTTTTTAAAGTAACAATATGCCTAAACAACTAAAAAAATCCAACAACATAATTATGCTTAAAAAACTATACTTTATTTATTTATTTTTATAAATAAACATAAAGAAAATGACTAAAAAACCTAATCTAAAATATATATATTAAATTAACTATATTAAAATAATAGGCGGGACGGGGTACCCGCGGAGCGGGGGGTGTATTCCCCGTCCCCGTCCCCGAAATGCTCTCGGGAGAATTTTTCTCCCCATCCCCGCCCCCACGGGGGAAAATTCCCCATCTTTGAGGCCCCGAACGGGGCGTTCCCCGCGGGGATCCCCATTAACAGGTCCAAACTGACATCCCTACTTAAGATTGCTATTATCAACATAATTGTTTATCTTATATTTATTGGGACGAATTTAAAAATAAATCATACTAGGACTAAATAAATTAATTTATAGGTCAATAATATAAGAAACTTTTACACGTATTTTAATCACATCTGATTATATATATATATATATATATATATATATATATATATATATATATATATATATATATATATATATATATATATATATATATATATATATATATATATATATATATATATATATATATATATCATAATTAAAAACAAGTTATATTATAATAAAACATTTTTAAATTTACGGCCCACCATTGTTTCCCCTAGATGCAACCCTGATAGTTATATAACTTCCGATGTTTGTACCATTAGTAACTCATGGGAAGGAATCAACCATTTCAAATCAACAACACTTAATAATACTAATCACTTGATTACTTAAGAGTGATTATTATTTAATACAGTATTTTATTGAAGCAGATGCAGATACATTGAATAGTTATAAAAAGGTAATATTTGTCTTGATGTATCATCAAGTGGTTGTTTTTGTCAATAGAAATCAAGTGGTTGCAACAACCGAGATGAATTAGATTATGTGTTTGGGAAATGTTTCAGTGACTCGTGGGTTGTTGTGGGGGTAGTCACTTAACTTTTTTGGGGCACCCCTTACAAATATTAGTTAAGAACCATAGATATCATAATCAAGGTAGGGTATGGCATAAAAATAATTGAGATATGTACAATACATAATAGAGACTAGCTAAACCTATCGTTGTTACCTTTATTTTGCACTATTAATTCAATTGAATCTGTCAAAATCCATGTGCAAACAGTTTTGTGGTTTTGTTTTTCTTCAACCAACTTTTTTTGAAAGATCATTTATTCCTTTCAAAGATGAAATATGCATATCAATGATGTAAGTCTCAAGTTGATTATCAAGCATCACTAAACTAGTAAGAAAAAATTTACTTGGATAAAATTTTGCAAACTCAATTAACTTTGTCTTGTCGAAAGTAGAGAACGAGTTACTTGGACACAAACAAGCCATACAAATGAGCAACCAACTATTTGTCTCATTAAAACGATTGTTAAGTTCTTGAAGTTGCATGTCCTAAATAGTATAAAATAATTCTGCGATAGTGATCCCTTATTGTGATAGATTGAGCATTACCTCCACGTTTTGATTTTCCACGGAAAAATATATCATCCATATTCAGAATGTGAATATCATGCTCAATGCAAAATAAACTTACCTCCTCCCATAAAGGTTCCCATCAATCATCTCTTAGAGTTTGCAGTAGTTTCTTTGTGATGTTAACCAATTTCATAGCATTGACAATGTCTTGATCTTTCTTTTGCAATGCTTGTGACAACTCATTTGAAATACCTAAGACATTTTTCATCAAGTGCAAAGTGAATGCAAAATCAAATTTATCCATTAAAAGTAAAAGACCATTCGCTTCGGCTCTTGTATCTTGAGCAGATACATCTTCTTTCAACATTTCAAGAACTTCGGTAACAGAACTATACATCAAAATTAAATTCACCAAAGTTGCATAATGAGAACTCCAACGTGTATCAGCAAGTCGCTTGAGACTAGTTTCTTGATTCAAACCTTTTCCACTAATAATTTCTCCATTTTCCAATGCATCACGAACCTTAATCATTTTCTTTCATGTAGCATGTCATTCCTTTTACAAGACCCCCAACAACATTTATTAAATTGGATACCAAGCTAATAAGAGAGAAAACTTGAAGGCGAGCTTTAGCAATAGCAACTAATGTAAGTTGTAATTGATGAGCAAAACAATGTACGTAAAATGCACACGGGATTTCCCTTAAAATTAAACTCTTAAGACCAAAAATCTCACCTTGCATGTTGCTAGCACCATCATAACCTTGTCCTCGAATTCTTGGAGTAGTGATTTCATGTCTACATAGAAGATCATCTATGGACATTTTCAGTGATATGGATGTTGTAGTTTTAACATGAGCAATACCTAAAAATCATTCTACAATACTTCCATATTTGTTAACATAACACAAAATAATAACCATTTTCTCCTTATTAGATATATCCCTGGATTCATTAATAAGAATAGAAAACAATTCATCTCCAAGATCATTAATAATTGCTTTAATAGTTTCCAAAGCAGCAGCTTTAATAATATCTTTTTGAATTGATGGAGAAGTCATTTTTAGATTTTCAGGAGTATTTTCTAATACAACTTGTCTCACTTTCTTCTTTTTTTCAGCATACCATCGAAGCATTTCAAGGAAGTTTCCTTGATTAGAAGACTCAATAGATTCATCATGACCACGAAAAGCCAACCCTTGATTCAATAAATAGCAAAGGCAATCAACTAAGCTGCCAATCACCTTAGATACATGTCACGAGTTTTTTCAGATTGTTTAGATATCACCACTTGAATATGTTGATTTTGATTCATCAAATCTTCACATTTCTTCCAAGCAATGTTATGAACATAATAATTAGGGCCTCCAACATGTGATGCGAGTTTAGCTTTTTTATTCCAACTTGTGAATCCATCTGTTACAAATGTATCACCACCTGATTGCTTTCCAAAATCGGGTCTAAAAAGGTAACAACATAAACAAAATGCGGCATCTTTTTCTATACTGTACTCTAACCAATTTCCGAATTCATTAAACCACGAGGAACAAAATCTTCTCATTAAATTTCCAATTCTTCTTTGGGGAAAATTGTGTTGAGTAGGTTGACAAGGTCCTCTTTGTAAATATGTTTTGCGTATTATTTCTTGATCATTCGGATGATATGCTGACATTTTAGGCCGCTTTTCGAGATCTGATGGCAACTTTTTTAAATTACACTCAATATGTTGATGTTGAGAAATAAAGTCTTGTTCTTCCGATGGTAATTTTCGTCAAAAAAATTTCTCCATAATCTCCTACCAAAAATAAAACACCCAACATAATTAAAAGAATATTTTAGCATTCATTATATTTTAGCAACCAAAATAAAACATTCACACTAGACAAAATCCAATATATAGACAAAAGCAAATATTTTAGCATATTAGCATATTAGAACTTCACAATAGAATATTAGCACATTGGCACACTACACACCCACAATAGAATATTAGCACATTGACACACTATACACCCACAATAGACAATAGCCAATATTTTAGTGAAAACAACAAAATTAATATTGTAGTCAAATAGCACACTCACAAACAATAAGAAACTTTAGAATTCATATTATAATAAAAACAAAATACACTATTTTATAATTCACACTCAGATTATAATTTGCAAATTCACATAGTGACACTCACATGTAGCATTCTCCCTTTTAAAACTCACGCAGGAAGCCAAGAATACAGTAGCAAGCAACTCATTTCATTTTCTTCACAATACTAACTTTACAATTGATTTTATTTCAGCCACAACAATTTACTACTCATTTTATTTCATTCACAAGACATCACAGTAGCAATCAAGTTTGATTTTTCAACCATACGACTTTCCCTTGTTCAATGGTTCAACTTCAAGTCTTAAATACTTATTAGTAATGAATACTACTAAATTACTAATCCTTTCTAACAAATTTCTTTCTAATCTCTAAAATTACAAATTTGAAAAGGAGAAAACAAGATTCACAAAACCCTAAAATAAAATTCTGAAATGGGTTACCTTAATAACTTCTTGAATGATGTTTAAATCTTGAATAAAGAGTAGACCATGACAAATTGAGTGCATTGGTGGTGGTGGTGGGTGGTGGCGCCGCCGTCGGAGAAAAGGATGGAGAAGTATTGATATTTGAGTGAAAGAGTTTAGAGATAGAAAATATTTAGATAGAAGAAGAAATAAGAAAGTGAATCACCGAAAGTCAATTGGGTCAATTTGGGTTATGGGTGCAAAAAAAAATTTTGAAGGGGTTCAAAATAAAAATTAAAAAGTGGTACTGGTGTAAATATTTTAAATCCAGAGGGTTCAATTGAACCCTCTCAACTTACTCTGCCTTCTCCCCTTAAAAGAAGATATCACCAAATACTCTAAAATATTCTTTTTTTTTCTTTAAAAATTGTACACATGAAAACTAATTAAAAAGTAAATACCAAATGTTCAAAATATTGTAACTTGTCATTCAATTTTAATCTGACAAGTGACATAACAAATTCAAATTCACTTTCGTCTTTTTCCCTCTCACCAATCCTCTAAATCTACTTTTGACTAAATATAGAATTTATTTTATTAAATATTTATTGGTGTGTATATATGTATACAATGTAAGTATTTAGTTTTTTTTTTACAAACCACTATAAAAAATTACTTATTTTATTTTAATTAAAAAATATCGTTATTTGAGACACAAATATTTATTTTTAAATATTAAATTTTCTCTTTTTCTCATGTGTCACCACTATCACTAAATATCAATTTTATTTTAATTAACAATTGTCTTTATTTGAGACGCAAAATTTTTATTTTTAAATGTCAACATTTATCTTTTTCTCACGGGCTACTATCAACAAAATACATATTTTATTTTAATTAATAATTACCTTAATTTGAGACACAAAATTCTTATTTTAAAATGTCAAAATTTCTCTTTTTCTCACGGACCACTATCAACAAAATACCTATTTTATTCTAATTAACAATTGTATTTATTTGAGACGCATATATTTATTTTTTTTCCTATCTCCATTTCAGATTTTTTTTCTTCTTTTTGTACGATTATTTACCCGTGCGGACACCCATATATTTTGTTAGTGTGTATATATATATATATATATATATATATATATATATATATATATATATATACATCTAGATCAAATAGTTATTAGGCTTTCTTTGGAATAACGAGTGGGTCTCCCTTATTGGGCCTTTAGAGGATCCATAATAGTTACACCTAAGGCTTACCGTGATGTTCAAAACGAGAAGTCATTTCGAATTTGTGTCGGCCTCAAGATGTTAAGTTGACCATGAGTAGATATGGAAAGCACCATGAGTTGGTTGCAAATAAAGTGGGAGAGATCCGCATTAAATGTATATCTTGTCGTCGCATCACTTCGCAGGATTTAGAACATGTCTCTTTAAGCTCGCAGACCAGGGCATGTCACCTTGATTAAAGTTTCTAAGTGCACTCAAAGGTTGTTGTATTTCCAATGTATGATTTGACTATTGTTTTTACTCATCTACTATCCCATTATTTGGACCTTTGATTGGCCTGGTTCGCTCTCCTTGATAAATATAGTTTGACTTTCAAAGTAACTTTTCTTCCCCATTGATTGTTTCTTGGAATTTACATCTATTTCATGACTTTGTTCCACTCCCGAACTCCGGCGACCTTTGACCTTCTTGTTATCTCGCTGATCTATGGCTGGTAACTCTAGAGCCGATGTTTCCTTCATATGCGCTCCTTATTTCTTCTATTTTGACCAATTTTTTTTCTCGTGTATCTTTCCATCTTCGTAACCATAATGTGTACCTTTCTCTTCCCTTGTAATGGTAAATTTGGGGAATATTCATGTGAATGTACTAAATGACTCTGATGGTGAAGATTCTTCGTCGTTGTCTAGGGTTGACCATCAAGACCTTTTAGGGATTTTTATGGCAACCCTTTAGAGGTTAATCATCATGTCCATGATCCAAATGTACTCAGTGAGAACCCCATACCTAGTTTGTATTTTGTAGAGGATGGTGGTGATCCTGATGCAAGGGAGGTTTGTGTTTGCCTTGGTCTTCTGCTCAAGCTAATTTAAATTTGGGCGTTATTTGGCTGCCTAGGAGAAGTGTCGAAATGACTGTTCTATTTGATCCCTTGGGGCGACTACTGAAGGAGTTCCTACCAGTAGATAGGATAGGGGTTATACTGGTCTTCGCAACCTTTCTGCATATCCTCGTAACAATTTTTTTCATGACAACTAGGAAACTATGGCATGCTATAATGGAGATGTCAGACACCGATCAATATCAATGGGTAGATTCGTAACTTCGAGGAACACTTTCCCTCTTCAAGAACACAGTTAACTATGAAATCTTATTTTGCATGTTACTTCTAGGTGATATGTCTTTAATGAGCACAACAAATTTTTATGATGAAAACTAATATTTCATTATGAAAAATAGTTCAGATGATAATAACTAAAGTCAAGCATAAAGCAGTTAAATATGCAAACCAAATTATTAGGGTTTAATGGACTTGGCTCTCTGATGATGGAAATCAAATGGAACCCAAATCAAGTATCATCTCAAGTGAAATCAAGCAAGTGTCTACAAAATAGAAACATCTGACAAGACTTGAATTATGTGAAAGCATACATCATCACGTCTGAGTGAACATATTGTAAAAAGTATAAGGGCTTTCTCATAAAAGTGCATGGCTAATCACACACACACACACGCGCGCGCGCGCACACACACACACACACACACACACACACACACACACACACACACACACACACACACACACACACACACATACACACACTCACACATAAAATAAGTTCTTAAACTTATTTTTCTCAAGAAAACATTTTCAAAAATGACTTGATGTCATGCTAGATGAGTTAGGAGTTGTCATAATAGCTCTGAGCAAAATTTTTTCTGGTCTAATCGATTGTCACCTTATCTAATCGATTTGGAAAGTTAAATAATACACACTAAGAAATTAGGACATAGTATTAATGATGGGTAATGTCATATATCTTTCCTTTTCTTTTTGAGCTTATTAATCGATTGATTTATGCCTACCAATCAATTGGTGCATGTTGTCAAACGATTGACAAGTCATAAATGGCCCAAAAACATTTTTTTGTGCCAACCTGTATCCTACAAATAAAAGTCCCTTCTCATATTTTTCATATCCAGAAAACGAGATTTCATTTCTCACTTATCACTCTCTAAAAATTCTTTTTGTTTACTTTCTCTCTCTAAATGTTTCACCGAAGTGCTTTTTGAGAAAGTCATTTTGTGAGTGAGAAAGATGTAAATCTTGAAGGGTATAATTGTAAAATTTCACCGAGTAAAATTTTGTTCTTACCTTGGTTGAACAACTTATCAATTTCGGAATTATATGGGTTTGAAGCTAAAACCATAAAAAGCTTTGGTTTGGGGATCATGTGATCAAGTATCCATTTAGGTTAGAAAGTTCAACTCATTCAAAAGCTTTCATAGGTTCTTGGTAAGCCCGAAATAAAACCAAGTTTAGGTTAAAGCTCAGCCTGTGATAAAATATTGTTTCGGTTCATATCAACTTGATGGTAAAATCTCACTGGTTCTTGGTTAGCCCGGTATAAAAACAAGTTTCAGTTCGCGAGCTCAGCTCGGTGTTAAAAACTCTAAAGGTTAAAGATCATCAAGTCAAAAAATCTTGTTTAAATCTTGACGACTAACCACTCTAAGTTTTTTTTTGGAAGAAATACTCGTCACTTCTCTCCTGTGTTTGTTGTTTGGTTGGAAATTAGCCCCAAACTTTATTTTACATGTATTAGGAGGTTCGAGAGTTCAACTTACTAAAAGATCTTAAATTTAATAGAATACTCTCAAAATCAATTCTTGGGGACATGACTAATTTGTTTTTTACTAAACCTATATAAGTCCTGGTGTTCTTCTCTCTTCCCTAAACTCTTTATTTTTTCACTTTACCTTCTGCAATTTATATTTCTGCTGCTTAAATTTAAAGCTTTTCTAAAACATTTTCAAACTCTGAGTTTTATCCAAAAAAATTTCAAACCTAAGTTTTTTTGAAACACACAACTCACATCCTTTTGTGTAAGGAGTCCCATGTTCAACATTAACATCGATG